AAGTTTATTCAAATAAAGCCCTTGGGTCAAAATTGGCCCCGCTCCAGGGGGTCATTGATTTTCCCTATATGCATATAATAAAACCTTAAAAAATCTTCTTTAAAAGAACCCAAAGTCCTATAGCTAAGATATTTAGCATGAAACATCTTCTAATGGGTGTTTACCAAGTTTGTTCAAATAAAAGCCCTGGGGTCAAAATTGGCTTCGCCCCAGGGGGTCATTGATTTTCCCTATATGCATATAGTAAAAACTAAAATAATTCTTTTAAAGAACCCAAAGAGCTAGAGCTAAGATATTTAGCATGAAACATGTTCTAATGGATGTCTACCAAGTTTGTTCAAATAAAAGCCCTGGGGCCAAAATTGGCCCCGCCCCGGGGTCATTGAATTTCCCTTTATGCATATAGTAAAAACTTTAAAAAAAAACTCTTTTAAAGAACCCAACGACCTAGAGCTAAGATATTTAGCATGAAACGTCCTCTAATGTGTGTCTACCAAGTTCGTTCAAATAAAAGCCCTGGGGTCAAAATTGGCCCCGCCCCAGGGGGTCATTGATTTACCCTATATGCATATAGTAAAAACTTAAAAAATCTTCTTTTAAAGAACCCAAAGAGCTAGAGCTAAGATATTTAGCATGAAACATGTTCTAATGGATGTCTACCAAGTTTGTTCAAATAAAAGCCCTGGGGCCAAAATTGGCCCCGCCCCGGGGTCATTGAATTTCCCTTTATGCATATAGTAAAAACTTTAAAAAAACTCTTTTAAAGAACCCAACGACCTAGAGCTAAGATATTTAGCATGAAACGTCCTCTAATGTGTGTCTACCAAGTTCGTTCAAATAAAAGCCCTGGGGTCAAAATTGGCCCCGCCCCAGGGGGTCATTGATTTACCCTATATGCATATAGTAAAAACTTAAAAAATCTTCTTTTAAAGAACCCAAAGAGCTAGAGCTAAAATATTTAGCATGTAACATGTTCTAATTGATGTCTACCAAGTTTGTTCAAATAAGAGCCCTGGGGTCAAAATTGGCCCTGCCCCGGGGGTCATTGATTTTTCTTATATGTGTATAGCAAAAACTTAAAAAATCTTCTTTGAAAAAAAACAAATAGCTAGAGTTTAGATACTAAGCTTGAAACATTTCCAAGTGAGTGTCTACAAAGTCTGTGGTAATAAAAGCCCTGGGGTCAAAATTGGCCCCGCTCCGGGGGTCATTCATTTTCCTTACATGTGTATAACAAAAACTTAAAAAATCTTCTTTGAAAAAACTCAAATAGCTAGAGTTTAGATATAAAGCACGAAGCATCTTCTAGTGAGTGTCTACAAAGTTTGTTCATATAAAAGCCCTTGGGTCAAAATTGGCCCAGCCCCGGTGACATTGATTTTCCTTATATGTGTATAGCAAAAACTTAAAAATCCTCTTTGAAAAAACCCGAATAGCTAGAGTTTAGATATTAAGCATGAAACATTTTCTAGTAAGTGTCTACAAAGATTGTTCAAATAAAAGCCCTTGGGTCAAAACTGGCCCCGCCCCGGTGACATTGATTTTCCTTATATGTGTATAGCAAAAACTTAAAAATCTTCTTTGAAAAAACCCGAATAGCTAGAATTTAGATATAAAGCACGAAGCATCTTCTAGTGAGTGTCTACAAAGTTTGTTCATATAAAAGCCCTGGGGTCAAAATTGGCCCCGCCCCGGTGACATTGATTTTCCTTATATGTGTATAGCAAAAACTTAAAAATCTTCTTTGAAAAAACCCGATTAGCTAGAGTTTAGATATTAAGCATGAAACATCTTCTAGTAAGTGTCTACAAAGATTGTTTAAATAAAAGCCCTTGGGTCAAAACTGGCCCTGCCCCAGGTGTGTCATTGTTTTAAACTATATGTGTAAAGAAAAAACTTGACCAGCTGGACCTTAGATGTTTAGCATGAAACATTTTCTAATGGGTGTCTACCAAGTTTGTTCAAAAAAAAGCCCTGGGGTTTAAACTGGCCCAGCTCCGGGGGCCTATATACAGGTGAGCGTCTTCAGGGCCATCATGGCCCTCTTGTTTATCTGGTTCACGTAACGCTCTTCTTCTGAGCTGATTTGAGCGGCAATGTTGTATCACTTGTTGTAAAATTTCATTGTCAATGTCTGCGAATGCACATTTCTGAGCCATTTGAAGTTCTTAATTCAGTTACATATTCATCAAGCGTTTGTCCTTCTAATTGCTTGTATGATCTATAGTTGTAAATTTCAATTTGAACGTTCTTTTTGGGAACAAAATAGTCCCTTTAAGTACCTTTTTTGTTGCGTCATATGTCGCTGCGCTCTCTTTTTTTTCTACGTCATAGATGTCGTACACTTTTTCGCAGGCGTAATGTAGTAATAATGCTCTTCTCTGGTCAGTGTTTGTTATTTTCATCCCCACAAATAATTTTTCGAGTAGCCCAATCCATTTCTCCAAATGCGAGCCTGCATTGGATTTATCCGTTTCAAGATCAAAACTTGGAAATGCTGGTAAATTGTTCATGGTTAACGTCTTAATTCATCAATTAACACATGAAATTATATCCAAATATTATATAAGTAATTCCTTTTGTTTGTTTTTATCCTCGTCACCAGATGATAAGTCCTAATGGTGGATATTTATTGATAACAACTATGTATCTGTTTGAATCGTATTTACTAAGGTTCCATGTTTTTCCGGAAGTCCCGGTCTCCTATTACATACAACATACATATATACTATAGTGGTCTCACATACATTATAACATTAGTCTATAGGACATCACACTAGGTCTTCTCATAAGGTATTAATGTATCAATGTTGGTTACAAATGCTCCTTCCCTAGTAAAGATATCAAACAGAAACATTTTTTCTATTTTATTAAATGATGACCTTGACCTCAGTGAACTTAAAATTAATCCTAAGTTAAGACTTTACATAAGATATCGATATATCAAGTTTGCTTACAATAGCTCTTTCCTTAGCAAAGTTATCCAGCGGAAATGATGTTTCTATTATATCCAATAGTGACTTTGACCAGGACGGTAGCAAGCCAATTTTTGTGCTCTGCACATCATCTCATACTGGTGAACATTTGTGCCGCCAAGTTATTTGAACAATTTGCCAGTGGTTAAAAAGTTATAGAGTGACGAAATTGGAGACGGACTGACCGACGCGACAAAGCGAATCCAGAAATAATAGCCCCCGCCCCCCCCCCCCTCCTACATGTGTTGGGGTGGTAATAAGCAGTGACATCTTTTGCAAAGCAAATATACAAGTATGTTATGTTTTATAACTTAAAATACAAACTAAAAACTTTTTTTTAAGATTTATAACTATAATTGTTTATTACTCCTTCTTTAACGAAGACTCATAGACATCCAAAAACATGTCAAATCTCTTCATTTTTTTGTTCGTGTTGCCCTTTCTAAATTTTAGTGAATTCTTTATTTTCTTGTTCAATTTTTTGACATGAGGCCAGATACTGAAACAGTCGAAGATTTCTTTTTGCTATATTGCTCTTTACCTGATTTTTTTGGTCAGTGTTATGTTGTGATGGAAGAGTTTCTGGGCTTGACTCATTAGCCGGTTTTGACATTTTATTGCCCCCAGTCTTGCCACTGTCAAAAATCAAAGCAGGACTGGTAGAAGCTTTGTGGCCATACATGTTGTTGAACTCTTCCAAAAACTTCCACTGACTTCTGCAGTTGCCCGTAGAATTATTTTCATCAATTATCTTCTTGTAAGCTTTTTTAATTTTTTCCATTTGTTCTTTACTTGCTGTGAAGAGACCAAAATTCCATTGCTGTTCAGATCTTTACAGATTATGTTCCATATTGTGTCATGATTTTTGTTCTTTAGGAACAATTCAGATTTATCCTTCATTGAATTAATAAGCCTTTTCTCCACCTATTCTTTCCAAATATAAATCTGAAAATATAATGAATGCAAGAATAAAATAACAGGTCAATACTTTAAGTAGTTACAAAGAAATGAGATTGATCAAAAAAAAATTAACCTATGGTTCAAAAATTGTCAAAATAACAGCAGAATATACATGTATGTCAGTAACCTCGATTGCATGTGCTAATTATCAGATGTCGGATTAATACAAAGATTAGTAACAGCATGGCTGTAATTGAATTGCCTGAATCGTTTTTCTTTTCACATACATTCCAATATCATTCCTAATTTATTTCAATATTCAGTAAATCAGTAAGTCACCAACTGTATAGCAATAAAAACGATCATATAGTTATCAAAATTCATTGTCACTTAATCATTTACGGACCAATTTGGAAAAATAAGAGATTTGTTCATAGGGTGAATAACACTATATTCCAAACATTTGAAAAATATATCTTTTTATTCTGCATGGAGAACAGTACGACAAAAATGTATGCACATCACGATATTACAGCGATTAAAAAATTACAAAATGCTACACTCCATACAATTAAAGCTGTGGTTAGAGATATGAATATAATGCACACAGAACTTTAATCACAAGAAATATTACGTCACACATATTGACGGACAGAATTTAACAATTATCAGTAGATAGTTTGTAGAACATGATAATTATCTGAACTTTTTCCAATAATAAGCAGTTAATATTTATTATGGTCACAGATTTTTGCATATCAATTAAACAGGGAAAAGATTATTGTAGATTTACACAGATAACCATCATAAATAATAAAAGATATCCAGGACATGTATGCTGTCTATTTAGTGTTGTTTAAGACATCGGACAATGGGACATGAAGCCCCATGTAACTCCTATATTCTTCATTTTAGCGCCTTTTTCAGTCAAACAAGCGGGTACTTTTCTTAACCTTTGTTCCTGGCAAGTTACAGCAGTACTTAACATATAATAGTCTCTAGGCCTCACTACAAAAGCATCTCCTGGGGATTAAATAAAAGACCTTGAAGTGACTAGCAGGAAGATAATATAAAATCATTTTATGTGGACAGCTCATCACAAGATCACTGTGTGACGGTTAGCAACCTTATTTGAAAGATCACCTATTCTAAAAACATAAAATAACTAATTGTAATGCAATCATGACATGGAAATCTTCATAACAGAAGTTATCCTGGGATATCTGCATTTGCAGTCTGTGATCCAAATCAGACAAAGAACAGTGATGGTACACTTGTATTACTGTCTGAGAGTGAGACAGTTCTAGTTATTACCTCTGAATTGATATAACTGTTATTGTTACTGTCGCTGTCACAGACGTTAGGTTCATAATGAACGGCTTTGTTTTAGGGGTCTTCTTTATCAAGGTTATTATTTATGTGACTGGGTTTTGGTTTGTGATCTTCAAGGACAGCCTTGTAGACTGCATCACGAACATCTGGATCTTAAAATTTATTAAAAAAAATAAAAAAAGAAGACTATCTCAATGAGATGGTTTTAAAGGGATACTCAGGCAAATATATAACAAAAAATTAAATTTAAAAAATATACTTAAATCACTCTAAAACGAAGTTTTGAAAAGTGATGAAGATCTCAGCATGTTTTTTTTCTGTATATATACTATTTAATGTGAGTTTAAAACGTAAATAAGTGTACATATGTTGAACGAAATGAAGACGCTGACAGACCTTACGAGTAGTTTTAAAACAAGTCATTTGACAATAACAAACCCTAAAAGTTAATAAAAGTATTGTGGATATTGTTAGATTAAAACAAGTCTAATTAAATCACTCATTTGACAGGTTATTTTACGTTTTAATAGTTATAATGTGATAATTATGGTGAAATCTAAATGCTCTAACCTGACCCGCGTGGGTCAGGTTAGGAAAACAACATTTTTTTATATGGATAAATCTTTTTCCCCTAGACTGCTTAGTTTATTCATTTCGATAACATTTATCGAAAATATGAAAGAAAATTTAAGTCGAAAATACGTATAAAGATTTTGTCTCTGTCTCCCTTTAAAGCTAAATGCATTATAAGTGAGAAACACTATGATCTACATTACAGTGATTTTTTTTCCAATTTTCAAAACAACCTGTGGCTTTCTAAGGGGAAATTAATCACGATACATTTGAAAAGGGGGAAATCTGAAATTTAAATAAAACAAATGAGAAACGATTTCTACCAACGTATTTTATAAAATTTTCACTTTAAATTCAATTTAACATGGTACATAGAAGAAGCTATCTTTTGGGACAGTTTTCTGTCTTTCAGCCGAATTTATCAACTAAGCATAAATATGTTAGTCAGCTACTGTCAAGTCATAGTGTGCACAGGGCATTTCAGGGGGTAAATATAGTATTTTTAGGGGAAAATATAAATATTTTGGGCTAGAGGACACAGCCTTTATTCATCTGTAAAATATAGTTAAAAATCACTGCATTACCAATACATAATGAGGTTAAATGCAAAAACTTCAGGAACAAAGGTTGCTTTTATTGTATGTGCAAAGTTACATATTTCTTGTATGTGGTACTATTTTAGTGCATTGAACCAAAAATTCTTAAAAACAATAAAAAGCAAACAGACCATACCACAGTCTGGGGATTTCAGCATCTCTTCCAACTGCTTTGTTATTTTATACGTAGAAGATTTACCCTGTATGATGAAGACATAATCAACTCTGAAATGAAGATGAAAAAGTGCTATTACTTCTGATGCCATTGAATGCAGCAGAGTAATGATGTTAAAGTATGAAACAAACAAAGCATCTAGGTTTATTTTCATTTTGACAAGCATAAGTTGATGCTCAGTTTCGCCGTGGTCTCTGCTCTGCATAGATAAATGCCAAAACAATACCATATGATCACTGCAAATCACATACAGTCTTTGCGAAAGTGCCAGTCCAGCCAGTCATGTCTGGTAAAAATCCCTCCGGTCTGGCACTGATATCAAGTTGCTGGTCTGTTTGACTGGCAGTTATTTTTCAGTGGCTAAATATGTTTCTTTTTCGGTCTGAGAGATTTTATTTCGGTCTGGCAGAAAAATATTATCACCAGTCCAGATGGCTGACAATTCTTTATCCTTTTCACGAAGACTGCACGTCACATGATCTGTCACTTAATTAACTGAACATAATTTCGCTAACGACTACATGTCACTCCACTCACGGCCTGCAACAAATTATAAGTTTTCTATTAACTTTGTTCCGGGATCAGGTTACAAATTTTAATCATCCATAACATTAACTATTATGTTTCACAGAGACTTGTTAAGGTGAGCTAAAAATTAGAGCTTTTAAGAGTGACTTAAGTTTTCAAGCATGAACATCTTCTCAGCAATGCAAATACAAAATGCTCAATAATGATAGCGCATGTCAAAAAACAACAATCAGAATGTAAAAACTAACATGTAATTCGATTTTTTTAAATCACCAACTACAGTGGAACCCCTCTTAACTGCCCCCTCCAAACCGGCCAAAGGTTCTGGTTCAAAAAGTTTCACTATATTATAATTCACCCCTCCAAATCGAGAACCCCTGAATTAAGGATACTGGACAACTTGAAACTAAGAGTTTTTTCCACATAAATCTACCCCTTTAAACAGGCCATATCATTAATTCTTGTGAAGAAAATGCACACATCGTGCATTGTTGCACACAAAGAAGATGACACTTGTAATTTTCACACTTTCAGTAATTGAAAGTGAACTGTTAGATAGGGAAATTGAAACTGTTTTAAGAAAACCAGTCTCTATCATTTATGTTTAAACTATTGTTTATGATAAAAAAAAATTTGTTGCCTTAACAGATAAAACATATTATATATAATAAGGTCTGGTCCCGAGGTCATCCGGTTTGGAAAGGTTCCACTGTATCCTTCTATATATACAGAAGTGTTTTTTTATAGTATATATTGGATTTTTTTAAATCCTTCATTTTTTGTTTTGAAATTTTTCGGGTTCCTGTGATTTTTTCCATTAAATCATCTGATCATAATCCAACCAAAAATGTGAATATTACGACGAACATCGCTGAAAAGAAGCAAAGTATACAGTAAAACCCTGTCTTAACTTTAATACAACGTTAATTTTGTTGTATGAAGCTTCTTGTTCAATAAGTGATGAAAACTTACAGAACACCAACTTTCTGCTCGTCTGAAGTCGCCATCTTGGAAACTGCAGTAACCCACGTGTGCCGTGGGATTAAGAAAGAGTTGAGTTCAAAGGTTAAATTTTGTCACAAGGGTTCTTACACATTGCGTTCGGTTCGAACTCGGGTTAGAAGTGATGTCGCCCATTAACTTTACTATGCATTTAAACACTATTCAATAATTGTTATGTAGCAATTAAATGCTAAAGAAAAATATTTACAGTAATTGTCTTACAACAATACCGGACTTAAACTTACATCAAATAAGGGAAAACAGGGAAAGACATTTTTTGTTCCAAATATTTACGGGAATACTTGCTGTGTCAAAAATATAAAAAGCGTAAGGAAAACCTACTCGTAAAAATACAAGGGTCCCTCTAAAGGAAAACCTCAACCGTTATAAAACCAATCCGGTACAATACTCTTTGTTCGTAATTTTCTTGCACCCCAATATTTGCCATTCCTATTTTATTTGTGAAAATCCAATTAAATTTGAAATACATGTATGAAAGTAGTGTGAAGAAATTTTAATCTTCTAGTGCACCTGTGTTAGCAAATGAATTGCCAGATACAAATAAAAGTATAGATCGGTGGACACTTTAGGAAATTGTAAATGAAAACCTTATATATCACAAATGTTGAATTTAACAATGCTGTCTTTTAATTTCGGTTTTCAGTTGATCATAACTTTCATCTTCTTGTAAATCTTCCAGCTTTTATTTCTGTAAACAATGACTTGGGATTTACATTGATAGCAACTGGAGCACAGTAATGAGCCTTGCTTCCTACAGTAAAAATAATGGAATCGGGTTTCTTTATTATGTCTTGCAGCAGGAGGTTTGGGGTTCTTTTACAATTTGTTCATGGGCAGTTTCTTTGAAAAACTTGATGGTTGCACAGTTTTGTCAGCAATGACAGCTTCAAAAAATTTCTTTTTAGTCCCCTACCGGTTTAACCGGAGGGGACTTTAGGTTTACCCTCCGTCCGTCTGTCCGTCTGTCTGTCCGTCTGTCTGTCAGTCTGTCAGTCCGTCCGTCCACAAAACTGGATCCCGCGATAACGCAAAAAGTACTGAAAATATTTTTATGAAACTTGATATATGGATAGATGGCAGTATGGAGATTATGCACGTCTTTTTTTTTTCTTCCTATGTTGAAAATTTTGGTTGCTATGGCAACAAATAGTCTGAAAATATGGCAAATTTAACACATAAACTGGATCCAGTGATAACTCAAAAAGTACTGAAAATATTTTTATGAAACTTGAAATATGGGTAGATGGCAGCCTGAGATTATGCACATCTTTTTCTTTTCTTCCTATGTTGAAAATTCTGGTTGCTATGGCAACAAATAGCCTGAATTTCAAGATTTCTGATTTTAATTTTTCAGCTTTTTCACTATATGTTCTTTATTTCTTAAGGTGTTTACTTCAAACTTTAAATATAAGTTTCTGGTCATCAACCACATCATATGTGACAAGGTTTATAACTCTAGCACAAAAAATATCAGTATTACCGCCCTTGAACTTAGATTTTTTAGGGGAAAAAATGTTGTCTTTTTTAAATAACTTCTTTATTTCCTAATGTATCTACTTCAAACTTCATATATATGTTTCTTATTATCACTCGACATTTTTGAGAAGGTTAAATACTCTAGCAAGACTATTTCCAGAATTATGTCCCCCTTGAAACTTAGATTTTTTTTTCGAGAAACTGGTATTTTCACTTCAACTTCTTCATTCCTTATAGGATTTACTTTAAAATCCCACATCGTAATAATATGACAAGGTTGTATAAACATAATTTCCTTACTAAGCATGGAAACTTAACACATTACTGTGATATAGACAAACTTATTTTATTATGTTTTGTGGTTGATATTTTCAAATACAGACTTCATCCTCAAAGTCATTATAAATGGCAATACACAGGAGTGTATGACAATTAAAGAACTTTTTGAGGGACCGGTAGGGGACTACTGTATTGCCCGCAATACTATCAAATGCTTGTTGTTACTGGTCTCCTGGCAGTTTTTGTGCATTCAATAACTTTCATTTCAACTGTTACATTTGAGTTATCTGGTAGCTCAAGAGCTTCTTTCAATATTTAACATCCTATAAAGCAAGCATTACACTTAATATGAGAAATTAAAATACTCATATTTAAAAAATATTGAATTTGGCAAATAACACAGCTATAAAATAATATATTTGCATTCTTTAATAATTTCTTAATGTACAGCATTTATTTTAATTTATATTTCTAATTTCTTTGCAAAAGCTCTATATCAAATATATATGACTTTGAAAAATATCAAATTCCTTTTTCGATTATTATGGAAAGATTTCAGTAAAGAAATCAGTTCTCTTTTGATATTATTTATTTATTATTCTATCATACAATGGAATAATGATTTTACGTTTTAATCATTTTATTAATTATATTATCTTACGTTAATTTTCAGGAATAACACAGCCAGATTACAGAATGATTGTACGTGCTGTTATTGAGGTCGAGTGGAGCTGTTAAGCACTTACCCACAAGCTGTGTGAATCTTCGTACAATGGCAACCGGCCAGTGAACTCTGAGTCGTTGCTGTAGGTGGATATGCCTTGAGTCTGATCAACGTACGATCTAGATGCAAGAAGAAACGAGCATGGAACTGAACTGCTTCGCATGCAATGCCGCTAATTCCTGTCTTATTTCCGGTGCCGTACCGTACCGTACTACATTCCTTCCCATTCTATAGAACAAGGCCTAGGTTTGAATACTTCCAGTTTTTAGGGCAGACTAACGCTGCTCAAAGTCATCAAGTTGAGGTATCATTTTTCCTTTTAGTCTATAATAATGACAATAAATGCTCCGCTTACGCTGAGCAACTTCCTTAAATTCACATGTCGGACAAACAAAGCTCCGCTAACGCTTAACTTTTCTGTAACCTTATCCTGTAGAAAGTACAAATCCTGACCATTGCGAGTAGTCAGCCTCATTGTTTCCGGTAATGAAGTACCTCTGTGTTTGCTGACCACATCACCAATGTCTCCCAGAAAATTGGGTGTACTTGCTTTGGCTGCATTCTTTTTGAAGTAAGCGGCATCTGTTTCCAGCAGAAGTCTGTTGTCAGGGACCCTTTGGAGGGCAGCAACCTGATACTTGTCGAAATGTGTTACTCTGTCGCTAAATCCAAAGTAACAGTTAGGGAATGCCTCTAACTAGCCAACGACCTGTTCCACAGTTCCCCCAAAAGAGTGTAGGTGGATCTTCTGCGTAGGGGCTGTATTAGCCTTCATAATTTGAAGACATTTGGCGCTTACCTCCCCAGCATGTTGGTCTGTTCAATCCCGCATATGTAGAATAGCTGGGCGAACCGGCATGCTAAATTGAAGTAAACGCACCATGGTCTTCTCCTGCAGATCCCAAGACATTTCTGGCTCCGTCCTGTCAAGCCCTATCTCTCCAAGTGCAACAACATTGCAGGACATAAGGAAGTTAATAGTTTCTGATAGGGAGAATCAGAGAGGAGATGGCATTTCTTTGGATGAACTCCCACGGCAGAACCAAACCCTTTTTCACTTGGCAGCGTTTCTCCGGGTCACAGAAGACCATTACTTCACGGATGTTGTTGGAAGAACTCCAACATTTTCAATTTTGCCGTGTTGGGCTTTCTTTAGGGATTCTGTATACATCTATTTTAACAGCACTAACAAGACTCTCCAGTGAAACAACAATGCTTCACAGTTGATTGGCACTAACGAAAACCTCCTAGACTGTCTCCACCGTTGCCTTCTGCAGGCTTTCTCTAGCCATTTAAAATCTGTATCCGGTACAAATGTGTCCACTGACATGGCTCTTTGACTGTCCACCCACCTTAACATATCACTAAAGGTAGCCTTCTCTCCCAGAACCTTGCATTTCAGAAACATCAGCAACTCCATCCTCTTGTTGTGAAAGGAGCTATCAGCTAATGCATTCTCCTGGAAAGGCTTTGGAAGATGCTTCTCCATAGCGTTGCGTCTTATGTTGCGAAACATACACTTGCAGTTTGCAATTACACAACTCTTCAAGCGCACTTTTCCACGACTTGCCTCTTGTGGGGGACAAGATCCTTTTTTTTGTCTTTTCCTGTCCAAAGTAGCCCTCAGATTTGATTGTGCCATTAGAGACCGAGATAGTTCTCTGTCAACTCTGTCAACCAGTGGTGGCATTTCTACAGGCAGACCCCTAGGAGACCGTAAATCCCTGTCCCCAGGAGCCTGGAAGTTGGACTCGTCAATGACCTCCCTGAGGTTGTCAATAACTTCCTCTGTGTGAGCAGTGGACCGGGCATCTGCATTCCTGTCCTCGGGCTCCTCGTCCGATATTATTATCGGCTCAGGCACTGTTAACAGTGCATATGGCTCTTCCTGCTTGACTGTCACTGTCAAACCGGGTTCCGTTGTGGGCTCCTGTTTGACAGTGACCACCTCCTCATGCAATATAATATATGATAAACAAGATCAACAAGGAAAGGCGGCGTTCAATGAACGCAACCCCCACATGACCCAAGACTTGTAATGACGGGTCTGTACCCAAGCGTACATCTTTAGTCATTGTGCAAGAGGGGATGGCATGTGTTTGCTGTCGGCGAGTTGGTGGGCGGTAATCAATATTCTCCTTCATCCACTTGTCACTCTGATGAAGAGAAACACACGCCCTGAACTCCTTCATCCACCCGATCTTCTTCTTTTGCTTAGCTAACTTATATTGGCCAAGAAGAGTCTGTTCGATCTTGTCGTTTTGTTTAGCCGACAGAAACGTGTGAAGACGCGTAACCAATTCCCTTGGGGAAGCCCATAGTCTACCTTGGTCGTTCCAGGTCAAGACTTCTTCCAGGGGCGTCTGGAGTTTCACAAGATTTGGTGGCTGATGAAACTGTTTCCATGGTCTGCGCGGACTTCTCCTTGGCGAGTCTGAACTCGAAGACGTCGGTGTTTGTGAACCCTCCGCCATTTTCTGAAAACTAAAGACTAAGATAAGTAATTAACATTGTAAAAACTTATAGTAAAAACGTTAAAAAAATTTCTTTTAGCAATTGACAAATGCTAGAGGTTAGATATTTTGCATGAAACATTGTGAAGTGACTTCTAGCAAGATTGTTCAAATAATATCCCTGGGATCAAAATTGCCCCCGCCCCGGGGTCATTTATTTTCAATATATACATATAGTAAAAAATCAAAAAATCTAATTGTTTGAAGGTACAAGGCTTACAGCTTTAATATTTGTTAAATTATATCATCTAGGTATTCTACCAAAGTTGTTCAAATTTTGCCTCAAGTATCAAAATTAAAAGTGAACTTTGATATCAGCTGACCTAGATTTTGACAAAGTGTATTACATGTTGTCCTTTGATGCAGTCATGAAATTTAGGCTGTGTGAAATAGGACCTTCACCACCAAATTCACTAGACTCAAGTGCATTGATATATTCCTACTCTGATCTTTTATTGAGTTAACAATAGATTTAACCACTAATCTGATAATAAGTATAGGATAGATCATGAGTACCAGTTGGATGTGAGATTTATCAACGAGCGAAGGGAGTTGATAAATCTCACATCCAACTGGTACGAGCGATCTATCTGACTTAGACCACAGGTAGTTTTCTCTGTTTAAGGTGAAGATTAAACATGCTTAAACGGTTTTTTTCTCCGACAGTTACATAGGGATATCCAAATATTTCTTACTCAATATATTTGGCCTTATTGTAGGCAAACAAATGCACGAGAAAATGGCATAATTCATGTTCTTTCATAAGTTACTGAATACACAATCTATTGAATGATAGATAGATTTCACATTCTATCGCAAAGGTGCAGTCAGAAGAAAATTGGGAAGAATTTAACATTTCTGAATGTGATAACATTATAATTTCGAAACTTGGGATATTTTTGTTGTTATTCCTGTTGATTCCTCATTTAAATGATTTAATGACATAACACCGTACACAGCGCTTGGAAGCAAGACTGTTTACCGAAATATACTCTAAGACAGAAATCAGGGGCGATGGCTACTTATCAAGAGTGGGCTCGTTGGAGAAACGGGCATGTAACTTTCATTAAACGTTTTCCTTAATGCTTAAACAACATTAGGGTTCAGGATATTTATTGGTTGTTTGGCTGAAATTGAAAATATTTTACTTGACGTATAGATTCGTTTATTTATTGTATGCTTTATATACACCCTGCATTGAATTTTTTACTTCATTCATGAACTGAAAAAATATTACAAACGTCCCTCTGAAGCATTAAAGCATAGAATTTCCTTAGCGTTGCAACCGCAGCCCAGTCACCGTTCGGAAACTCCACCCCCTTCCCCACCAGTGGAATCCCCTCTTCCCAAACCAGTAAATGAATGTACATCTACAGTGTCTGCTATTAAGAGTGAGCCGGGCAGGATGCGATTATTGAAATCTCAGTGCCCCAAAATATTAGCACAAAAGCCGTCGTAACATTTAGATACATATATAGATTTAAATAGATAGATAAACGCATTTCACATCATTATTGCTAGTTTTTTCTTATTTACAAATACAGTAACTATTCTTGTAAAATGATGAAATGTCGAAATAAATTGGTCAAAGGACTATTGCTATCTGTTTGTTTTTTTAAGAAGGGAATTACACTTTTTACTTTACAATATACATAGAAGTTTTCCCCTCATAAAGCGTGCACATAACTGGTTTTTTCCTTTCAGTTGAATACAAACATGATAGTTATATCAAACACTTTACTGTGATGTGTGGGATATATCAAACACTTTTTAGCCTCTCTGATTGGCCGAGAGAAAACAGCTGTGGTCTAAGAATTAGATAGGTCAGGGATCTATGCATTATGACAATCTTCAATTGTATAGAAACAAAAAAAATCTGTTCCTACACTACTATTTAGTGTTGTATTAATGCGGTGGCATAGCATTTTTCTCAAATGCAATCTTGTTTACACATGGCATGGAGGCCATGTTTTTTCAAGGTCAGATAAACTACTTTCCTAAGATTTAAGTTTTTGCAAGTTTGTTGTGTTTTCTGCAAAAAATAGCATTTGTCGGCACTACATGCACTAAAACGACTTTAAACTGAATTTTGCCATTAATGAAATGTGCATAAAACTTTACAATTGATTGTACTTGGTCTTCAGAAATTTAGCACATTCAAGGTAAATTTTCTAATTGTTAATATTTTTATTTTTGTTTTAAATAGTCCTCAAAACATAGAACTGGAAGTGTACATGCAAATGGCTCATCATTGTACATTGTGAGCTTTGTTGTTATATGAATTTTAACCTATTTTCACTTTGGACAGACTTGGTGAAAAAACAAACATGGCTGAGAAAGCGGAATCACCTTAATGAAAAAATTGTCAAAAATATTACGTCAATACTATTTATCATCTCGTTTTTTCAAGTCGTATTTTGTGATTGCAAAGGCTGTTGTACATACACAAAAAGTCCGGTTTCTTTTTGTACTCGGTGACTTTTCCAATTGTCTTAATCATGAGAAAATAAAACACAGCAGAGCATAGGGACAAAGAGATGTTGTTCTTGAATGTTTGTTGTTGTGATAAATATTTACTTACGATACATTGTTGATCGTGTTTTCGCCAAACAGGGAGAAAAAAGTGTACCCTTTTAATCAATTGTATCTACAAAGTGTATGACCGAATACAGAATCGAAATGAAGATTAATGTCATTTGGTAAATGCTGACAAATCAAGCATGTCGTCGTTTTCAATTTCTTTTAGGACAATATCGATACATGTTTGTACACCACCGCCAAGTTCAGAAGTAGCTGAATACAGTATTGATTCAAATCTTGAAATTTGTTGTTCATACTCCGATTAATATTGATAAATACAAAGCAAACAGTCTTTGTGTTGTTTAGAATACATTGATGAAAAGAGATTACTACTGCTCATCTTCATCAGCATCTAACATGTCCAGGTCTAATTCCTTTGTTCAGAAAAAATATAGCATCCAATAAAATCAGAATATAATTTCTAGATATACTTTATACAAAAAAATAAAAGGATAGTTCTTTACCAGTAAACACAATTGTAAGCCATTATGCATTCAATCTGTTGTGGTGAAACATCATTTTGGTGAATATGTTCCATCTCCTTGTATATGTACCATATAGTTGTATGTATGTTATATGCAAAAATATGATATAAAACCATATATTTTTCATCCCTATAATTGTTATAATGACTTATGTGTCTTTATGGTTACGTTTTCTGCTTCCTTAATATGATATGGTATTAATTTGAGTGGGCGAAAAGTGTTTGTAAATTACAGACTTTACAATAGACTCATATTCATATAGCAAAAAAAGAAATACAATTGATGTAAGCAAGCAATTGCAATGTAAAACTTTCTTAAATGAAAGGCAGAAAATGAAATCTTGTTTCAAT